CTCCATCATGGATCTGCCTGTTGTGCTCCAATTCCTCCCTCTAGGTCCGCACTCCCCTCTCATACCACAATCCCATAACAGAATCCACTGGACAACCTCAAGAATCCCTAAGCACATTTCTGAGATCTTTATATTTGTCCTCTCTTGGGTTCAGAGACGTTGCTCACAATGTTAAGGGTTTAATGTGCAGATTTTCCAATTCCAGCTTGGCTTCAAAGGCAGTGGGGGCTGCTATGACTGCCTTTGCCTCAGACACACCCCTGCCCCAGTCTTTCCGTGTCTTTGCCTGGCCACCTCTGCCATGGCTCCTGATATCAGACGAGATGCTGGAGCTTGGGCAGCGTGTTGGCTGGGAAACATTCACCATGTTGGAAACACCATTGTGTCCCTTGTGCTCAAATGTTCACCTGAGGCAGTGAACAGTGCTCTTGTCTTTGAGCTCATGGGTTCTCTCGAGCCTGGCCCATTACCTATGTATGGGATTATCTGAGCCTCCCAGTGCACCTTCAAAGACCCTCACTTTCAGGCTTTTTTTGCCATGCCCAATCTCAATTTTTGTCACTGTCTCCTTTATTTCACCATGGAAATGTTTGTATTTCTCTTACTCTCGACATTATTGCCATAATGAGTTTTTGCATACGCTGCTTCCAGTGCCTGTGAGGCCTTTCTTTGTTTCTATCTACTGGAAAATTCTCACTAATTTCCAAGCCCTACCTGAGATGTCACTTCCTCCAAGAAGCCTTCTCTGATAGCCTCCCCCTGCCCTGCCAGCAACGAGGTCTCTCTCTGCTCCTGGAGCATCCTGTGCTGACACATCATGGTAGGTTCAGCTTAATTGGCAAAAATGTAGAAACAGAAGAAAGGTTTCAGAATCCCTGCAGTGTTCCCTCTTTTCCTCCCCCTCACAGAACACTACAAATAAATATTGATGCATTTCTTCCAGCAGTGTTTTATTGTGGCCTTTTCAATATTTTACAAAACCTAGGAATTTCCTCTGTATTTTAGCTCCCATGTTTAAAAAAAAGTTTCTGAATTTAGAAGACTGAAGAGAGAGATTTTCTTCCAGGAAATTCCTGGGTTCTAATTTATTTCCAGCATGGGATTTCTTACTACATTTTATTATTATCTATGCTCTTGAGGTTATTTAAACTTGTGTCTGTATGATGGAAATGCTATATAATGGTGTACAATGGTATGTTCATCTCTGTCCAACTCCACATAAAGTCACATCATGTTGGTAGCTTGAAATAAACCATGGTAGGAGTATTTACACCACAGAAATTGACCAAAGCTACAAATTAGAACTTTTTTTTCAGAACCAGTTGTTAAACATTTATGACCCAGCACTCAGTGGATCCTTTTGAATATGGTGCCATAGTAATAACTAAATTTGCAAAAGTAGCTAAAGAAACAAGATACGTTTTGAAGAGATTATTTGCTCTCAAGATATCCCAATCAAACTATTTGCACTGCCCTATACACATCATGTTCTTTCGTTCTTTCATATCTTTTTCCATTGATCTAAATGCTAGATTAATAAATGATTAAATGAATTGTTCCTTTTCTGAGCAAACGTAATATTCTGTGCTTGTTTCATTGGGTTCATCGCACTATAATTGTTTGTCTTTCCCCCTAAGACAGTATGCTCCCTTGGGCAATATTGGAGACTTACATCTTTTGTATTTGAGCAAAGGCTCAATATGTCATGTCATAG